CTATTTGCATTCAGGTGAGTTAGTATAGAGTGGTAGGAGATGAGGCTGAAAAAGTCAGCAGATGATGAACACCTCTAGGGCAAGGATCACCTAATATTAATGTCACCATAGCTAACAGTGCTTAACACTGATGAATTGTCATCAGTGAGTGTAGAATTCGATTTTTAAAAAATCAAGTTACTGGAATATTTAGTTTCCAACTCGAGTTTTTCTGTTTTTTCCTTGGTTGTTTCAGTTTGTTTATTTTTGTCAGAGGGCACATGGGTGTTAACAAGAGAGAGGGAGGGAGAAAAAGCTCCCAAACTATCCCCCTCCAGTGCGGCATGGCCACACCAGAGTCCTCCTTCCACGTCTCCATCCGATTAGGGTTTTAGGCGCATATGTATGTACACGTGCTGCATATTCTCAGGGCTGGTACTGTAATCATGGTTGGTCATGTTGGATCTGGTTCCCTTTGGACAGCAGCTAATCACTGTGCTAAGTAGAGCATGCCCTGAGCTTTTGTTTTAGTTTGGTTTTTACTGAACTATGAATTCTCTTTTCCAACTCCAGAAGAAGGCATAACTTGAAATTATATCTGAGTATGTGCTTTATTACTCCCATTTCTTTTTTTTTTTTTTTTTTTTGAGAGGTTTTTGCTATAAGGTGCATGTACTCGCCAGAAAGAGACAGAGAGGCAGAAAGTGAGAAATCACCCACACACCGGACCCCCCAGGGGGATGGCCACGCTGCAGTCCCTTCTCCTCCATTCTTCTCTTGGGATCTTGGGCATGTACGCACACACACCCAGCATGAGTTTAAACCACTGGATCTGGGACTCGAACTGTGGTCAACTACATAGGAGTCCAGTGACATAGCCATTACAATGTCAACTGCTGGCCCCCATTATTACTATTTTTTAAATTTGAACAGAGAGAGACAGAAAGAAAATGAGAAAGCAAGCCATCAGGTCTGGGACTCGAACTGTGGTCAGCCATGTGGGAGTCTGGGGACCTTAACCACAACACCACCTGCTGGCCCCGAACCCATTCCTTTTCTGCACTGAAGAAGAGGTCTGCTTACTAACACCAGATAATATGGCCTTCATATTATTATTCCTGTTAAGTTGAATTTTTTTCCTTGCCATGGAATGTTTTATATCAGAGATCTGACAGATGAGAACCAGAGACCTTGGGTGCTTGGTTTTTGGTTTTCTTTTAACTTTTAGCAGGTTAAAAAAGAATTTGAAACATATTCTGCATATTTCTGATTTTCCAAAATAAATAGAGGTCCACTCTGCAGAGTGGTCACAAGACTTTCACTTTGTATCAGACAAAATAAAATCGAATTAAAATAAATAAAGTTAACTAAAATAATTCTTTAAAAAAGTATTTGGTATAATGGAAAAAATGAGGGACTAGGATACTTGGTTTCTTATCAGTTGATCTTTGACTTACCTTTTTCTTTCTTTGAGCCTCAATTTCTTCATCTTTATAGTGAAAGAGAGGGCTAGCCCCATAGCCTAATGATTAAGGGAGCCAGATCTTACATGACTGACCATGATTTGAATTCTAGCCTAGTGGCTTGAAAAAGACATGCCAGGCATGAATGCATGTATGTCCAAAATCCCATCAGGATGGAAAAATGGAAGAAAAGGAATTGCAGGAAGACCGTACCTCACTGGTGGGTGTTCTCTCTCTCTATCTTTCTGGCAAGTATACATGTCCTCTGGCAGTTAAAAAAGAATAAATGAAAGTGGAACCAGTCTCTTGGTGGTTAAGTTACCGCTGTCCATGATTTGAATTTAGTTAGATGTACACTATGCAAATGCTATATGTGTTTGGATATAGAACTTAGTCTACTCTTATACATTATACAGCTAGTACTGTCAAATACAAAATGTTGCTGATTTCTTTTCTCCTCTTCCCTTCTAAAAATTGTGGTTTATTTTATTTTATTTATTTATTCATTCATTCATTCATTTTTTTAAGAATTATTTTATTTAACTTTATGTATTTATTTTAGTTCGACCAGAAAATGACAGAGCGAAAGAGAGTGAAAGAGGGAAAGTGAGAAAGCAAGCCATCACATCCAGGACTTCAGCCACTGTTGGCCATGTGGTAGTCCGGTATCCTTGACCACCATGCCACCTGCCAGCCCCTCTCATTTAATTTGACCAGAGAGAGACATACAGAGAGAGAGGGAAAGTGAGAAAACAAGCCACCAGATCTGGGACTTAAATCATGGTCAGCCATGTGGAAGTGTCCAGCACTTCAACCACCATGCCACCTGTTGACCTCCCCTTCTCAAAATTCTAGGAATCCTTTTCATCTTCTTAAATAATTTTTGTTCTCCACAGAGTTTTTTTAAAGAATTATTTAATTTTGTCATTATTATTTTTTATTTTGCTGCAGGATGCATGTACCCATCAGAAAGAGACAGAGAAAGAAAGTGAAAAAGCGTGACCAGCAGTTGGCATAATGGCTAAATTGCTGGACTCCCATGTAGTTGACCACAGTTCAAGTCCTGGACCCGGTGGCTTAAATTCATGCCGGGCACATGTGCGTGCGTGCTCAAGATCCCGAGAGGAGTATGGAGGAGAAGGGATTGCAACGTGGCCATCCCCCATGGAGGGTGATTTCTCGCTTTCTGTCTCTCTGTCTCTCTTTGTCTTTCTGGTGAGTGCACGTGCCCTATAGCAAAAACCTCTCAAAAAAATTGAAAAAAGAAAGTGAAAAAGCAAACCACCTGGCATAGGACTCAAACCAAGGTCGGCCATGTAGGAGTTCAGCACCTTTAACCGCCACATCACCTGCTGGCCCTCTGCAGTTGTTTTTAATAATATTTCTGCAGTCCCTAGTTGAGATTTAGAGTCTGTCTTTTGCATTCACAAGGGCAAACAGTGCTTTTTTATTTCCTTTTCCCACTTCTTTCCATTAGAGCCTGTAATGGGCTCTCAAACCAGTAGGACTAAGAATGCTGAAGAAATATGGGTCTTTTTCAAAAATAAGACTTAGCTGTTTTTTAAACTATGTTAAAGATGTGTTCTCAGGCTTATGGGTACATCAAAGATTATTAGTAAGACTACATTACAAATCAAGGTTTCAGCTTGTTTTTATGTTACGAGTCAGACTGAGAGCTCCCTTTTTCATCTTTTCCTCCAAAACTTAATGCAGTAGAGTACAAAGGCTTACAGTATCTCTGTTGTGTGCATGTACTAAGTTCTGATAAATCCATATCCTGCGGGAGACAGACAGTTGCCCTCTGAATAAATGTTTTTAGTTTAATAGCCTTTTTTGCTAGTAGACCTTCCTTTTCAGTCTTTTCCCTTTCATTCTATTTATAGTCCCTTTATTATAATTGTTTAAGAACCACATTCAATTCCCTAGGGACTGTAAATAAACTTTGTTAATCTTTTGTCCTAGTTGGGGTGGGAGTGAGAAGAGTGGTCAGTGCGTTTGTGTTGAAGTAAGGTGTGGTCTCAGTGGCAGGCAATTTTTTTTAAAGGTTTTTGCCATAGAGCACATGCTGAGGGGATCGGGGTGACCATACCCATTCCTTTATTCTTCATTCTCCTTTCAGGATTTTGGCAATGCATGCACATGTGCCTGGCATGATTTTCAACCTGCCAGGTCCAGGACTCGAACCTCGGTCGGCCTTGTGGGAGTCCGGTACCTTAACCATCAGGCCATCTGCTGGCCCCAATAAATTTATTTTTAGATAGGTTAATAATAGCCTTTTATCACCCTCTAATTCATTGGTTATTTTATCTTTAGATCTTTGGTAGATGACCCTAATGTTCTCTATTGGTTAGAAAAGCCCATTGGTACTAGCAATATTTGTCATTCAGTTACATATATGGCTGCCAAGTGACAGATTCCACTCCCAACCCAAGAACGGTTTCCTTTTTCTGGAATACTGCTGTGAAGTAGTATTTTCTTAGAAGATTGGCTTTTAAGTTATTCCCAAAATTAAGCTAGAGAGGAGACGTTTCATAGAATTAAACACTGTATTGTTCAAAAGCCATTTACCCTCAGGAATCAGTCTGTCCTTGGGCTGTTCCACCTTTTCTGTGGTACTTGTCCTTCATTGTGCTCTGATATCCGAGTCATGATATCCAAATGTTTGATATCATGTTTCATTATCATGTGCCGGGCTCTGTAGCTCTGTGACAAGGTGTGAGTGTGTATATACACACCTGGAGTTACACATTCTGTTGCATGTTGCTGGTATGGTTCTCAAACCAGGGAGGTTACAGCACGACAATTGCTTAAGATCGCAGTAATTCTAGGTGGATGAGTTAAGCTTCTTTAAAGATGTAAGGTTTTTGGCTTTGGGTATAGGGATGCAATTTCTAACTTTTGCTTTTTAAGAGGATTTTGTTGATCTATTTAATAGTTTCCTTTCTCCACATTCTTTCAAACTAGTGTGTATAACCAGAGCATGGAAATGAAGAGCTAGAGTTAAAATGAACCCTACAAACAAATCATAGCTCCATGTCTTAGTTTTCTCAGAAGAATTTGCCTTGTCATTGTTTATTATAATGACAAAAAGCAGGGAAACCCACTTCTACCCCCCAAAAAGCATATGCTTAACATAAGATTTTTTTTTTGAGCCAAATGATTCTGCTCTAAATTTTCTAATGCAGAATATAATATTTTTAAAAAGAAGAAAAGAACTCCATATACTAGAACTCTTTTAAATTTAATTATTCTAAAATGCTGACTTTTAATTTTAGGTCTCAGCTTTAAGAAGACTGAAGGAGTATTTCCCATTAATTATATAGTCCCATAATAGTTTTCAGAGAGATGTGTTAGGCAGTATTGTTAACTAAAGAAAATAAGTCTATCAGTTCCACTTAGATAACCTTTGGTAATAAACGAACTCCTTACACATTGTGACCTTAGAGCCTGAACTTTGTAATCACATGACCGGGTTGTAAACTGACCTGTGAGGATGACTGTCGTCGTCCTGGCTTAGAGGGAGAAATGACCAAGTGTCGGAAGGGTGGTCATCAAACTGGACTTGTCCTGTAATCTCTGTTTCTTCATGGCTGTAATAGAACTTCTCAGCAGACTCCGAGAAGCATGAAATGGAGACATGGGAAGGTAAGGGAACTAATTGTTTGGCCTGGAGCCCAAAACTAAGCTACAGAATTTTATTTAAAGGTTTAGAGCAAAGAATAGCCTTGAGGAAAAAGAGGCAGTCCACAACTGGTTTTTTGTGTGTGTCTTGACAGAATTTAGCCAACAAGTTTTCATGTACAGAACAGCTAGATATAAATATTTTGGGATAGAGAAACAAGGGAAGGAGAACTTCAGTGAGCTGATTGTTGTGACTGTTTTTAAGAAAAAGAGCAGAAAAGGGGCTAGCTGGGGGGTGGATTTAAATTTTCTAGTGACTTTAAAAAATGTTTAAACTTCATTGTAAGTTACAATACGTAGGTAAAATTTATATTTAAATAAATGTTCCATTTACCTCCTGACAGAATATGTTTATATTTCAAATTCTTTAATGGAGTTCACCATTTACCAAAAGCTTTATTTAATACTGTTCATTATATAGAGTATTGGAATCGTGAGGCCATCAATAAGGTAACCTCACCCTCTTTGGGGGAACTTAGATAGTATATAGTTTGGGGTATAAGATGAAGCCATTATTAATTTCTTTTTAAGTGGATTATTTTTTAAATGAGTAAATTTTCTGCATGCATGTATGTGTAATAAATAGTAATTACTTAGTATTGTCACTCCTTTACTTGGGATAGGTACCTACATTTGTGAGAAACCCCATTATTCCAAAACGTTATTATTTGAGCCAGAACATACACACCCAAAGAAACAGCTAAGAGACCTTAGTGTTAAAGATTTACTGTGTTTGTAAAAATGTCCATGGTCTAAGAGTTTGCTTTCCTGTAGACAATCACTCTTGAGCTTTAGCTATACTTCCTGACTCTTTGAAGTAATTGATAAATTTCTAGGAATGGCATTAACCCAATGAAATAGCTAGTCCTGGGAAAGCTTCCCAGGCCCTGCAGCATGGCTAACATCTGCCGTAGGCAGCTTTGCAGTTTCAATCTCAGTCTGGGGATGCACCAACCAGGGAAGCAGGACTCCCTCTCATAACAGCATTCTTTATAGTAATGCTGGCTGTCCTCCTCCCTCTGCTGTTGTCCCCAACACTATGTACCAGAATTACCTCATTGGTTTTTGTTGTAAGTTAGTAAACCTCTCCCCCCAACAAAAAGCTTGTAGAACTTAGAAATTAGAAATTATTACATATAAGACCTGTTATTTTTATCTTGAACAGCCTCTTCTCTTTCCCCCAGTACACACAGAAATTCTTTGGTAAAACTATTCCGGATATACTAGCTTTTCCAGAATGGAGTACTTTAAAAAGTATGATTTGTTTTGGACCCATTGCCCAGGAGTTAAAGCACCAGAATTGTAGTTACATGACTTTGGAAGAGGTAACTCTGGAGGATTTAGATTTTTTTCAGCCAGCTTGGATCTCTTAGTGGCATGTAGTCACCAGCTCTGAAAGAAGAAAGGTTTCTATAGAAAGTTCTCCGTCAGTACTTATTTCAGTATTGAAACTTTGGTTTTTCTTCACTGTCAAATGACAGAAAATATAGTACTAAAACAAGAACTTTTACAAAACAAGGAAGTGAATTTAAAATTTCTGACCTGAATCTTCCAAACAAAATTCTAGTAAAAATGATCCCAGCTGAAGGAGGTGGTCTTTGGATGCTTTAAAAGGCAAAATCAACTGCTTACAAAAGAGGTCAGTGAAAACGCTACTGTAAAAAAAAGCGTTGCCTGGTTTTAGATATTGGGCCCTTGTCCATTTAAATTAACCTTTGTCACAGCTGGGCATACAAATGTTTTGTTTTAGTTCACAGAGGGTTAACTCTATTCAAGCTTTCACTGTGGCAGGCCTGATCTGTGGAGTCATACAATCTGGTCTTTCAGCCCTGCCAGTCGCTAGGCAGGAAGTCTTATTTCTTAAGCTATCTTTCAGAATGGGGGTTGGGATTTGGAGAAGGTGGGGGAAGGGCTTTGGAGCATCTGTAAGGATCAATAACAGAGAGAGAGCCGCTAGAGAAGCCATTGTGCACACTTCAAGATAGATACAGCCCTTGTGCACGGCCCCTGCATGGCAGGACAGACACCTAAAACCAAAACAATGCCACCAAATGAATTCCCTGAGAAAATTAGATTGCTACTTAAAGGAGAAAAAACATACTTAACTACTTTCAGTGTTTGGGAATATTCTCATTCCTCAACCTGGAAAGATAGGCACCCTCCCACACACACTAGAAATAACTCTAAATTGATTTTTAAATGCCTTTTGTCCTCATGCTAATACTGTATTGAATCTGGGAGGGTGATCATTTTGGTTTTGGTCACGTGGATGAAAGCATTAGATAATCTTTCTTCTTTCATTCTCTCTCTCTTCTTTCATTCTATTTTTTTTTTTTCCTACTTACTCTGAAGGTTGGTTTACCATATTGGTTTGGGAGGCATCGTTAAGAGGGAATGAAAAAACCAAGATCTGGTTAGAATTTGAGTAACACATGTGTGAAATCCCTCCCCCAACAGCTGGTATTGGCTCTTGAAACTTCAACTGAGCTAAGCAGATGCTCTTAGTGTGTTATACTGAGTTCATTTAAACAGGCTTGTAGTCAAGAAATCTATAAAAACCGTAGGTTTTATTTTGAAATGCATCGAAGTTGTGGTGTCATGCTGTGTCTTAGTACATATTATATGGGTGTTAAACAGAAAAATACCTGAACTTGAGAAAGCGAGCAGTTCCACCAATGAAGTTATAATTTTAAAAGCACTACCAAGTTATTCTTTTACTTCAGGCCGGATTCTCATTTTTCAGATTCTCCTTTCCCAAGCCCAACTTCAACATTCCTATTTTACTGTATCCTTTTTCAGAGGACTAAGGCAGTGATTCAATAGATACTTTTATGATGCAAATTCTTTATGGCAGTTGGAAAGGATAATGGAGTCATTGCTGCCTCCCCTCTACAAAATCTCCAATGTATTGGTTGACAACTGGTGGTAACAGCTGAGAAAGATGAAGTCATAAACAGCCTCTAATATTCTTCTCTTCATTTGAAATCTTCTAGGAATAAATGCATACACTAACTTGAGATTATAATGTGACTTGTGAGCATACAAATGAAAAAAGGAAGGGGTAGGGAGCTCTGCATTAGAAATGAACAGCAATTTTAATTTCTTTTAGATTTCTTGAGTTGAGAACAGACATTCTGACCAGTTTTGGAACTAAGGATATTTACATACTTAACAGGTCATATGGATGTTTTTAACATACCTCTAGCACATACCCATTTTCTGGGGGAAAATGACACATAAAAAGAAAATAATTTAATTGCCAAAAAACAGTGCCTCCTTGATATCATTGTCTCTGCTTCTGATATATTGTGATTCTGCATTAATATTTAAAGCAAAGGATTCATTCTTTAAATGGGTATTTTCCAGAAACATACGAATATTACTAAAAAACTTGGGAGTTCAGTTACCATTTACATTGTATTAAAATAGGGTATGAAACCTACCATGACCCTTTTGAACAATGTGGTCTTTAATGTGTTTTAGTGGGAGGGCCTAGTGAAGGAAAAGCCATAAAAGTCTTCAGAGTTCAAGATGAGGTTGGGATTTTGGCCTATCGCTTTTGTCATTTTCACACACAAACATCACTGCAATCATGTTTGATTTAGCATCCTTAATACAATGAGGTGGGAGAACAAAAGGATATCAGAGACCCAAGTATGGAAGCCAAACAATCTCCCTTCTCCATCCCCTCCCCCAAATTTCTTCAGATCATTCTTTTTTTCTCTGTCTGTGCTACTGGGGTTTCTTTTTAGGACAAGGAATGAATCTGTTCACATGAATCCTTTTGAAAAATGCCTGTGTACTTTGCTTGGGCAATTGAAAAACAAGCCACATCTCAAATATTATTATAACCATGTAAAAAAGACATATCCTCAAAACTTGATAAAATACCGTAATTGGGAGAAATGCATCTATCCATATTTCAAGGTTGAGAGTGGGGGGCGTTCCCAAAGCACAGCTGTTTTACATATTTTGAAAAGCCTGATAGATGTAAAGGTCATTGCTAACTCTAACAGGGTCTTGATGCTCACACTGCAATCCAAGATCCTTGCATTAATTAGGGTGAGAAGCAGGGAAGGTCAGGAGTCAACCAGCTGGTGAGCTTGGAGGGCTTGCCTGGATTGTCAGTGGGACCAATCAGAATTCCTCTAGAATTTTTAAACTATTAAAACAAAACAAAAAAACTACTGCCTCTAGTGCCTCTGAGAGGATTCCTTGCTGTGGATGGCAACTCATCGCCTGCTGCCCTGATGGCTCATAAACACTTGTCTGCATCTGTTGCTTTGCTGCAGGTTTCCTGATGTTGGAGAAGGAACCTCATCAGTATGACCCTTTCATTTGGCCAAGTCATTTGACCCCTGTGAACCCCAGTTTCCTTATATATACAACAGGTGATGGTAATGCCTATCTCACAGGATTGCTATGGGGATTAAATAAGAGAACCTTTGTCAGAGTACCCAGGACATGTTTAACATGGCTTGAAATTGAAATGAGTTTCAAAGAGTAGCAAATTTAGGGATATTAGGAAACAGAATTCTTAGGAAGACTATGGCTGGTGCTGTTTATACTCTCAAGTAGAAATGTCTTAGAGAATGCCTCTAGTCAGTAGGCAACAATTAGGGAGGGGCTCTTTGGAAATTTAGCCTTGAAAATGCTGTATGACCAGTGGGTCTAGCTGCTGAGCCATCTAGAACCAATTGCTCTGCTGATGTGCTTTTCCTGTGCTAGTGAAAATATTTAACATTAGGTGGGTCCCTGCCAAGTGTGTGGCCTTTCCCCTGTAGAAAGTCTTTTACAGTTGTGTTGATTGTAAGAAAACGGAGAAAGAATGGATTCTAAGATAGGTTAAATCATAATCAGTAAAGGAAGGGTAATAAAGTTAGCCTAATCTCCTTCCATGTGCTCTGATGGATTCGTAGATGCCACAATTGTCACAACCATGTTTATTGGCTCTTTCTCAGAAG